CGTGATGGGCCTGCGCGCGGACCTCGGAGGTCCCGTCTTTCCCGCCACCCTCGCCGCGGACGCCGAGGGGGGCAACGGGCGCGACCTTGGCGGCCACGGGGTCAGCGCTCTCTCGGGACTTCAGACCCAGGAGGGCGACGCGAGGGGCTGGTTTGCGCCCCGGCAAGGCGCTCGCCCGCCAGCCGGGCACTACCGAGAAGGTCGCGGAGCGAGGCGAGTCGAGGGCGCCGAAGCCCTCTGCACCCGTGGGAAGGCGCCAGACCCAGACACCACCTGGGCCAACCTGCAGGCGGGGCGCTGGAGATGCGCCGACAACATCGCCCTGGGCAAGGCTCGGGCGGCGATCACGCCGCTGGAAAAGTTGACCCGGGCCGCCTCGGCCCACGGGGCGAAGGTAATGAGTGCGGAAGACAACGCGGTGATGGCGTGCGCGGCCTTTCGCGAAGGAGAGGTCGTCCGCCGACGACCTCGACCACCTGCTGCGACGCCGCGCTGCACCCGCGGCCGTCGCCGACATCGGGCAGCACTTATCGCGGGCGGACACGGAGAGGCAGCCCGCCGACAAACTCTCGCGTTCGAGACCGCGCGGGGCGATCTACCAAGAGCCCAGGGCCCCCACGGCCACGACCGCGTTGGCACCCTAAGTTCAATCGCGACCGACACGCTGGCCAGGAGGCCGCCAGCCACCGGCGCCGACCCGCGCCTGGAGGGCAGAGTCACCGCCAAGACGCTGGAACACTACAATCGCGCCGCTGCTCGCCCGGCGTCGCGGCGCCAGCTGCGGCGCGCGAACCCGTGGGCGCCGGACGAGTGGGACGACGCGCTGATTGCGTTCATATACAGCTTGCGAGAGGAGCTGAAGGAGTCGGAGTTCGCCACGACGGCGAGCGCCGTGGAGTTCCGCCCCCCCCCCCCCCCGCCTGAAGGGCGAGCTGCCCTGCCCGCGCGCCGACGTCCGCGGCCGGGGCGTCGCGGCCCCCGCGTGTCACGCAGCGACTATGACCTCGAGACCGAGCAAGTGGATTGCAATTCAGATAGCCAGCAGGAGTCGCCCCCAACTGGGAGCTGGAGCGGCGCTGCAGGACCACATCGGCCCACGACAGCCCGAGATGCTCAGCCTGACCACCGACGACTTGACCTTTCCAGAGGACGGAGGCCACCGCCAGGACGAGGGCGCTCTGGAGATTGGGCTCGGCCTTAAGACTGGGGCCAAAGCCCAGCGAGCCCAAGCAGCATCGCTTCGATGTCCAAAACATGCTCTCCCTGGTCAACGTCTCCCCCCTGCCCCCTGGAAGTCGATCGCAGAGAGTTAGTTGAGACCCAAAAGGGCTTCGGATCGGACACTAGATGGACCCCCGCAGCCCGCGGGCGGGGCGCGCATCTGAGATCTCTGCTCCAGGCGCGCCCTTCGGAGTGATCCGAGAGACAGGCAGATGGAGAGTGGATTCCAGCATGCGCATGCATTCACATTGACGCAGCATCGACGCCTCAAATCAGTGCGACACTACGCCCCAGAGGCTTTGCGGCGGCGCTCTCGTGGGCTGGCCAACACTGGGACCGGCACGTTGTCCGGGCCCTTGCCTGCCATGGCGCCCGCGGTCAGCAAGAAGCTGAACGACGGCACTTGAAGCACAGCAGGGCGCGTGGCCTCGCCGGGGGCAAGTTCCATGGCCACCTCGGGGATTCCGAAATCGCGGTCGATGGTCTCGTCTCCAGTGCCTACTTTGCCGTCGCGAGCTTCAAGCTCTCACGGGCAGGGGGTCGCGCCGATCCAAGTCCCCTTCAGTGGAGATGGAGTGCCAATCGGCCCGCCACCTCCTGCCCGCCGCGCCCAGGGCGCCCACGGCCGCGCTCGCCGCCGCCGGAGAGGCAGGGCCAGGAGGTGGACGGCCGCCGCCGCGGTCACGGCGCCGACGCCGCCGCGGCGCCTGGGCGTGGATCAAGAGCCTCGCGGGAGCGCGAGGCACGACAGCCAGGAGCTTCGCCATGACCCTCGCCACGCTGGCGGCCCTCCCCGCCGCCGTCTGCCCCACAGCGGCGCCAGGAGCGCAGGTCGTCGCCGAGCTCGTCGAGGGCGCGGGCGGGGCGGCCAACTGGGCCCTGGCGTCGGGCGCGAACGTCACGGACTCAGCGGCCCGCCTCGCGGGTGCCATCACCGACGGCACGCTGGCGCTCGGCGAGACGGCGCGGAGGGGCCACGACCTCCCGAACGCCACCGTTGTGTCCCGCTCGGGCAGGCTCGCCCTCGACGCCGAGGAGGACGCCCCCGCCCTGCTGAGGAGCAAGGCGGGGCCCCGGATCCTCCGACTACAGCCTGAGTGTTTGGGGGAGCTCCTGAAGGCAGCCAACGTCATCGCGCCAGGTCGGCCGCTCGCGGGCACCTATCACCACGGGTTCGCGCCAAGCGGCCTCAGTACGCATGGCACCTTTCAAACGATTGGAATTCAAATTCGCTTCCTGAAGAAAGGCCACGTCGCCATGGCCTGGGCTACGTCCAACATCTCTTCCACGCCGCTGGGCCAATCCACGTCGGGAGGTGATGGGCCGTGACTTCGGCCCGCCCGCGGAGGAGATCGGCGCCGCTCTCCTCCACGCCCTCGCCGAGACCAACCTAATCCCCAACCTGGACCTGAACATCAGCGAGATCGAGGACGCACCGGGCATGCCTGCCGCGACCTGGCCCGTTCGGCTTCGCTCTCTTCTCCGTTGCTGGAAAACTTTGGCGACGTGGATGCGGGAGCTCGGGGCGGATGCGGGCTCGCGGGAGGGGGTCGTTTCGCCGCCGCCACCGCCTACGACCCCTTCGGCGACCTCGGGGCCCCCCGCTCTCTCGTCGACGGCAGCCCCCCCACCATGAAGCCCGAGGCCTGCGTGGAATGGGACTGTTCTGTGATCTGGCGTCGTCCGAGGTGCCCCATTGACACCGCCAGAGGGTGAGGCCTGCGCAAGCTCGAGGCTTTATGTTGCACGCGATCAAGCTTACCTGTGCGAACAAGGCTGAGCTCCCGTGAAAATGAAAAGTCCTCATTTGCATTCAAGCGGTCTTGTATATATCCGCCGATCTGGCGCGTGAGCTACAAGGAGCCTCAGCAAGAGCTTCAGCTCTGAGCCTAAGCGAGAGCTTCAGCTCTGCTTGGGGGGGGGCGGGGGGCGGTCCTCCATCTGGCGTTTTCTTCATGACTTGCGCATCCAGGCCTCTCCCGGGATTGGGGGGAAGGGGGGTGGGATCCCCCATCTGGCGTTTTCTTCATGATTTGCGCATCCCAAAAATGTGTCGGGGGGTCCCAGGGACCCCACTTCAGATCCAGCCGCTACCGCCCCCAAGACCCTCACCTCGGAACCCTCCCTGGACCCCCCCTGGGACCGCTCTAGGCACCCCCCCAGAGGAGCAGAAAGAGGACCAGAGTAATGGAGAAGGGAAAGGGCCACAGAGCCACGAATATCACCGAATCCGGAGCCCCCCGGATCGGCGGCACTGGTCGGAGGCCATTACTAGTTATATATATATATATATATATATATATATATATACACACACGCCAACCGCTTCGCGATGGCATCGCTGTCTCTAGGAGGCCCTTTTAAAGAGACCAGTCTGGGGCGGGCCCAAAGGGGGCCTCCCTCTTCGGAGGGCTGTAGCAGCAAGCTGTAGAAATGATGTAGTGAACTCTGAACTAGCGTTTTGTTTAGTCAGCGCATGTGCAGCACCAAGGAGGGAGACAAGCGATGCCGCAACCAAGTTGGCTCGCCCTTCCTGCCAAGTTCCGTTCGCTTCCGCCTGTGAACTCCCGTCCTCAGCTTCCCGCCCAGTGACTGTTTTTTTGTGCTCTGGCATCGTCCGAGGTGCCCCTTGACACCGCCAGAGGGAGAGGCCCGCGCAGGAACGAGGCTATATGTTGCACACGAAGTTTACCTGTGCGAACAAGGCTGAGTTCCCATGAAAATCATAGGTCTTGGTTTGCATTCAAACGGCCATGTACATAGATTTATTTATCTATGTGTGTGTGTGTTCATTCCAGTCGCTTCGCGATGGCATCGCTGTCTCCAGGAGGCCCTTCTTAAGAAGCCAGTCTGGTGGAGGGCCCAAGGGGGGCCTCGCTCTTCGGAGGGTCCTAGCAGCAAGCTGTCGAAATTGTTACGACTGATAAAAATTGCGACTGGTAATGTTACCCGTATGCTTTCAATTAGTATCAACATTGCTATTCCTAGTAATATTAAAAATGACAATCATAATTTTATTAGTACTACTGCTAGCATACTAAGTGGCATTAGTATGATTGGTACCATCACTAATACCAATACGAAACAATATTTTTAATAATACGGTTGTTGATGATATTAATAGTAGTAATGAGAATAAGGATACTCATAAGACTAATAGTAATAATGATCATAACAGAAATAATAATAAAACTAATAAAAATAACAATAATAATAGTAGTCGTAGTAGTAGTAGTAGTAGTAGTAGTAGTCGTAGTAGTAGTAGTAGTAGTAGTAGTAGTAGTAGTAGTAGTAGTAGTAGTAGTAGTAGTAGTAGTAGTAGTAGTAGTAGTAGTAGTAGTAGTAGTAGTAGTAGTAGTAGTAGTAGTAGTAGTAGTAGTAGTAGTAGTAGTAGTAGTAGTAGTAGTAGTAGTAGTAGTAGTAGTAGTAGTAGTAGTAGTAGTAGTAGTAGTAGTAGTAGTAGTAGTAGTAGTAGTAGTAGTAGTAGTAGTAGTAGTAGTAGTAGTAGTAGTAGTAGTAGTAGTAGTAGTAGTAGTAGTAGTAGTAGTAGTAGTAGTAGTAGTAGTAGTAGTAGTAGTAGTAGTAGTAGTAGTAGTAGTAGTAGTAGTAGTAGTAGTAGTAGTAGTAGTAGTAGTAGTAGTAGTAGTAGTAGTAGTAGTAGTAGTAGTAGTAGTAGTAGTAGTAGTAGTAGAGTAAGAGTAGTATGTATATTCCTCATCCTCCGGCCTCCTCCTCCTCCTCCTCCGCCTCCTCCTCCTCCTCTCGTGGGTGCTGTAGGCCTTGGCATCGGGGGCCAGCCCGAAGGACGGCATCTGCTCGAACAGTTGCTGCGCCTCGGACACCCTTCCGAGCTGCGAGCAAGCGCTCAGCGCCGCGTTGAATGACACCTGGGCGCGGCGGAGAATGAGGGGTGACGACATTCAGCTACACGCAAGAGTCACTTCGCCCCTGGCTGATTGAGAAACAAGACGGCAGTAAATTCCCACAGAAAAATGAAGAGCAATTTGCAGAAGCATAAATATGACGCGTGGGCGCGTTCTCTTCCAGAGACAGTGCCCCGCCACCCCACAGGCCATGGTTCACCCCGCGTTGCGCTTAAAGCGACGGAGGGTGGGGGGGGCCGAGCAAGAACGAGGCGCCATCCCTGAGAGACGCAACCGACGCGTCCCATGAAAAGGTGAGTCGGGGATGGCGACATAGCGACGGCAGCCTCGGCGACGCGCCTAAGGACCCCGAGAGGGCCCTAAGATGGCCCCCAGGGTCATGCACGGGGAGGGACCAACTAGTACAGACTGTAGACATTATCGTGGAAGCCGTTGGGGGTCCTCTACGGGTCCTCTATCCCCTGACGGAGCTGACAAGGGCCGTTGTGGGGGCCGCAAAGCCTCAGGAGGGCCCTTCGCTTTGTGACTGTTCTTGGAGGTCAACGCGGGCAATCCTAGGCCCCCAAGATAGCAATAAGCCGCTAGCAGGCCCCGGCAAGACCACCAATGGCCCACTAGCGTCACGAATGGCGACATGAGTGGCGACACTAATGGCGACACTACTCGACACTTGCGGCGACATGCCGACACTGATGGCGGTACTAACGGCGGCACTAAAGCACGGGAGTGTCAACACGAATGGCGGCACGAATGGCCACATTATTTCAGCAGCGGCCTAGCCGCAACCACAGTCACCAAGCGAAAAACACTCATGCCCTTGCCCTGCACTGTAGAATTAATGTGTTGGGGTTTGTGTCGATGCCCGCGCGTTCGGCTCGAACCTGCGATTTCCTCGCCCCGGATGGCGATACTTTTGACGACGCTACTGCACTAACGGCGGCACTAATGGCCACACTAACATGGGCACTAATTTACCTTAACGTCGACACGAATGGCGACACTAACGGCGACACTAACGGCGACACGAATGGCGACACTAACGGGGCACTAAAGGCGACACGAATGGCGACACGAACGGCGACACGAATGGTAACACGAATGGTGACGTTAACTTTGCCACCAGTTGCGACTGCAGTGGCCACCTATCACGCATCCGACATGCTCCTCCTCCTCCTCCTCCTCTTTCCCAGTGTGCGCATATTGCGATTGTCCTGGCAAGTTTCGCCATGCCCCTTCTCCTCAATCCACTCCTACTGCTCAACAACTGTTTTGGGTCATTCCGAAGCGCCGTCCTCGTAGCTCCCTGACATTTCGATGTCGAGGATCGCCAGGATGAGAGGAAAGAAGAGAAAGAGGGAGAGAGAGAGAGAGAGAGAAAACAAAAAAAGTGAGAGAAAGAGAGAGAGAGAGAGACAGATAAGAGATAGAGAGAGAGAGAAACAAAAAAAAATGGTCTTGATTACGCCGGACAAAGGAGGAAACAAAGGGACCATGATGGAAAGAGGGGGGAGCTGAAATGGTGCTTGTTAGGGAGCTCGAAGAGTCTGCGCAGGTCACCTCAAACAAACTAGGTCACGAGAAGGCGGCGGACGGTGGCACACAAGCCAGACGGACCACAGGAGACACGAGACTCCGTACAGCGCCGTCGAAAACCGCACGAAATCCAACATCCGAGTGAATGTAAGATCCACGTGAAAAGTGCATCGAATGCCTCTCGAAGGCGGGCGAGACGAGAAGAGTGACCCTGGGGCAGGAGTGGCGCGCGGCTCAAAATAAAGGGGCCCCAGAACACGCAAATAAATACACACACAAATCAAAAGATTCCCCATATTTTCCCATACTTTCTCGGTTTTTGTCTTCCCCCCCACTTCCCATATTTTCGCATATTTTCCTGGGGATCGACGATTACTTGTGTCTGTGTGTTTCTTCCCCTCCTGACAAAAGGGGGACGCGGGATGGCCAAACCCTGGCGCTGGCCCCTCCCGGACACGGGGGAGGGCGGCGTCTGCTCTCCCGCGGGCCTCCGCCGGGCGTCGTCCGACGGCGCGGCCGCCCCGGGGAGGCACCGAAGGGGCCCCGGGAGGCACCTATCGATGGGCACCAGTTCCAGGACTCCCTAATTCGGCGATGGACAAACCTCCCTTTAGCAAACCTCCCCTTAGTGAAAACGACCTGGGACCGAAACCGACGGACCTGGACCCGCAAAAATGACGGCCGCGACGCCCTCCCGCGAACCGAAAACGGCCGATTCACTAATCGACGTGGCAGGGTAGGAGGTCTGTCCACCCCCGACTAATGCGGGATGACGATTAATACAAAAATGGGGAGAGAACGATGAAAAAAAAATTAGATGTCTGCTATTTCTGCACCATGTTCTGACCGGAGGAGAACGATTGAACAAAAATAGTTCTCCAGCCCGCGGCTGTTTTTTTCTAATCGTCATCCCAGGCGCCGCCGCGTGAATACGACCCCCGGCCATTTATTAATCGTCGTCCTCCATTATTTTTGCATATGCGCTGGATGTTCGTTGCCCCCTCCATGTCCAACAGTGCTCTTGGCAGTCGACAGTTCCTTGTGTCTGTGGATGCTCTTCCATCCTGACGTACTTCTGCCCGCCTCCGCGGGACCTCGGCTTCCGACGAGAGCGAGGCGAGAACCCCGCTGCTCCTCAAGGACGAAGTCCATGTTAGGACGCCCTGTGTGGGCAGCGGGCAGCTCGCGCGCGAATGCCAGCGCGGTCGACCGCCCTTGGCTTGTCACGTCGCGCACCCGAGGTGCACATGGGACGCAGAAGGACATACTAGTACGATGTGCTGAGAATGGAGACGCACGTCCGACCCGAATGTGGGATACAAAATCTTGTAGGATACAGTTGCCCGAACGGCATGGCCAGAAAGGGCCCGCAACGGAGTTTACACGATCACATGTCCGAACGCGCGCACCACCCTTGCGGGGCCGCCGCACACATAGTGCAAGTAGGTTTGGGCGGGGCCGATACACAACCCGTGCCACGAAGGAGACGTCCGCGAGCAAGCGTGCTCTGGGCCAAGAGGACCACCGAGCTCTGAATCCGAGGCCCTGATCAAAAGTCGTTCCCCGGAGCCTCTCCTGGAGGGCGTTCTGGCCGAAACTTCTGGGGGAACCTGGACGCGGTGACGAAATCGCCCCAGAAGCCCAAGAAAGGCGGCAGACATCTACATTCAAGCTGCGGCCATGTGGAAACCTGAATAATAGGACAGGGAGCCCCTCTCCTGCGTCCCACAATCACCTGCGCGCACGAGGAGCGCTGAGCGCTGGAGGAACAGCCATGGAAAAACCTCGGAAACAGCGAACTATTTTTCCGCACCCGAAGTGTTCCTGCTTTCAGCATCCTGACTGCGAGGACCTCGACCATCGAACGTCAACCCCCCTGACCCCTGGGCCCGGATCTTCGGCCAAGGAAAATTAAAAATCAAGCGATACGAGCCCAACGCCCTCTGAGGAGGACGAGCATGAGTGGAAGGGAGACAGACGCGGGGCTCGATACGATGACGACGACGACGACGACGACAACGACGACAACGACGACGACGACGACGACGACGACGACGACGACGACGACGAGAACGGCGGCGGCGGCGACGGCGGCGGCAACGGCCAAGACGGCGACTGGATTCGGCCGAACCCTTCGCGCCCGATCGGGGCGGCCGCCCTGCTTCACCAGCTCGCCGAAACGCTCCACGGTGCGTTCCAGGGCGCGGTCCGGGTCCGCCAGCTGGAGGACGGCGGGGTCCGGCCTCCTTCGAGGAGGAGGGGGGGCGGAGAATGAGAACGACCAGGAGGAGGGGGAGGGGGAAGGGGAGGAGGATCGAGGAAGAGGAGGAGGAGGAGGAGGCGGACGAGGAGGAGGAGAACGAGGAGGAGGCGGACGAGGAGGAGGAGGAGGAGGAGGAGGAGGTGGAGCAGGAGGAAGAGGAGGAGGAGGAGCAGGAGGAGGAGGAGGAGGAGGAGGAGGCAGAGGAGGAGGAGCGAAAGTGCAACAAGGAACGTCTGTTAGCTCTTGCGCCGCTGCGGCTCCGCGCCGCCGACCAGGCACGGGGAAAGCCTCAGCGCGCGGCGAGCGGCGGCAGCTGCGCCCTTGCCGATGTCGTAGATGCTTACCCTGACCTCGTAGGCGGAGGCCGGGCTGCTGATTCGGAGGGAGTTGTACGTCTTGAAGGCCACTGGGACGCTGTCGGCATTCGTCTCCGAGTGGTCGGTTGCTCTCTTGGCATGCTGCGCGAGACATGCTGGCAGCATGCTGGCGCCTTCCTCACTGGCGGCCGGAGCTTAACCCCGTGAAACTCCCATGCCTTTGTGCCCGAGCGACAACGTGCACTCGAACAACGCCGGCGACATCTCGCACTACCTCAGCCTAGAATGTGGTCCCACCTCTGCCAGCCCTGCGGCGTCGTCTCCTCGTCGCTGCTGACGCGCCTGGCGCTCAGTGGGGGGTCGCCGACGATGAGAACGACATCGGCCACGCCATTGCGAGGATGGCGGTGGCTTTCAAGACGGACAGCTTCCTCCGAATCAACTGCCCGACCTTCGCCTACGAGGTTAGGGTCAAACATCTGCGACGTCAGCCGGGGCGCAGTTGCCGGCGCTCACAGAGCGCGGAGGATTCCCCCGTGCCTCGTCGGCGGCGCGGGGCTGCAGCGGCGCTAAGGCTAACAGACGTTCCCAGTGCCAAGGTTTGCAGCGTAGGCCAGAGCTTTAATGGTGGCGTTCTCGGCGAGTGACCGCGAAGTACGTTCCATTCAGCAGTAACTGAAAGAGGCCGATCTTGCACACCCACCATGCCGTCGCGGCCCTCTTCGACGACGTCGGGGCCAGCGTCGTTCGGGAAGATCTCAGGAGCAAGGCGCACGGCCAAGATCCAACGTCTGCGGGCCCGTTGCTCAGCACGTTCACCTTCATGTTCTCGTCGGGCAGCAACATGGGGATGTGGAGCGAGGCGCATCGCAGTCCGACGGTGTCTGCCGTTCGCGCACTCGCCGTGCATGTCCAAGCTCGAGAGCAGATGTCTGAAGCCGTCTGATGGCGTCGCTGCCCAGCATCACGACGGCCGCTGCATGCGACGCTGCACTGGGGCCGACGTAGAACAGCCGCGAGGTAAGGAGCAGACTGCCTCATCCAATATTCTGGATTGTCAGTCGCGGGGTCCAGGGAGATGCCTGGAAGCCATGCCGCTGCCCAGGCTTCCGCGCGTTCGCTCGTGCATGCGATGTGTTGTCTGACACGCGGCTGAGCCGCATCAGGGGCTTCACCGCGTAGTTGAGTGCATCTGGCGCTGCTAGCTGCACTAAGACCCACTGCCGGAAGCCATGCTTTGAGGCGCTCGATGATGGCATTGTCGATGCTGTCAGAATGCATGGGGCGTTGAAGTTCCAGATGGTAGTTCGCTGCGGGGATTCGGGGGTCATTGCTCTTGCCTCCGCCACGGCATTTCCCTGCGCCCGCGTTAGAGAGATTTGAGCGGCAGAGGAGAACGGCGCGACGCCCTTGCGCCGCCGCGCGTGGGCGAGCGGTACCCCGCGCGTTCTCGGCGCGAGATGAGGTGCCCGGCGAGCGCCTGATCGCCTTGAAGAAAGATCCCTCGCGCAATCCCGCCAGCCCTCTGGGCGACGGGCCCTCTTCCAAAAGAACCCCTCTTCCCCTTCGGGGAGGGGTTCACCCCTCCCCCGCCCCCCCTGGAACTGGACGGGGAAGGTCACGAACGGTCAGGGCGTCCAAGATGGCCCAAGATGGCCCCAAGAAGGCCTCAGAGAGCACCAGATGGCCTCCAAGATCGCTCAAGATAGCCCAACGTGGCTCAAGATAGCTACCAACATGCCTCCAAGAGGCCCCGAGATGGCCACAAGACGGATCCAAATGCTTTTGGAGACCCCATCAGGACCTCCCCGGGAAGCCGCAATCCGTTAAAAACCTTCGCGCCCTTTCGCTTCTGACGCGCTTTTGGGGCTTCAAGATGGCTCCAAGACGGCCCAAGAGAGCCCCAAGAAGGGCCCAAGAAGGGCCCACGACGTTCCTCGTGAGGACCGCGCGGAAGGCGCCAGCCGCGTCCGGCGCAAGTTCCTCGCTTTCCAGCAGGCACCGGGTGGCCCAATGGTCGAACCCGTCCGCGACGTGCCCGAGGTCGGCGCGCCTCCTGGTCACCGCGCACGCTTCGCGCCGCACCCAAGCGTCCAGCAGGGCCGCGCGGGTGTCCTGCAGCGGGCAGTGACGTGGCCGCCAGCCGCTGGATGCCCGCGGCACGCCCTGCCATCACTCGACGTCGCCGCCGAAGCCGAGGTCGGCCATACTCCGCCGCGCGGCCGCAAAGGGCCCCTGCTGGCGGCCATGGCCTGCGTCCACTGCGCCTGCAAGGTCGCGCCAGAGCTCGAGCGGCAAGCGCTGGCGGCGCAACGCCGCTGCCGCCTGCCACAGCGGGGCAAGGGTAGCGACCGCGGCGGGGTCGAAGCGCCAGCTCGGGCTGAGCACGCCGAAAACGATGTCGGCAGCAGCCCGTAGACCGCCCCAGCTGACGGCCTGCCGCGCGGCCGACCGCAGGCTGGCCAACTCGCGCTCGGGATGTCGGCCACACGAGGCGCCGTACAGGCCAGCAGCTGTGCCAACCGCCGCGCCGAGCAGGCTGCGGCAGCGCTGCTGGAAGCCAGCCGGCAGCCTGGCGATGCGGGAGAATGGCCCAGCCGCCACCCGAGCCCGCGCGCCCGTCACCGCGCAGCGGCGGCCTCGCCCTGCGGCGGACGCGACGCCAAGGTCACGGATGCCACAGCTGGCAGCAACACCAGGGGTTTGCGAGCGAAGCCAGCGACGGAGGCAGGCAGTGTTCGCGAACTGGCGGCTCGTGCCCCTGTTGAGACGCCACCACCGCGCAAAACACATTTTTCTGGCGGGACGATTGGAATTGACCGCGGCGAAGTGAAAGTCCACGTTGGCAGCGACGAACCATTCCGTGAGGAAGGCCTTGAGGGCGGTAGCGTTGAACTCGTTGTACGTTCCACAAAAGGAGGTACCGTAGTGAGGGTCTCTCTCTTCCAATTGCCAAGGGAATCGATGTTGACAGCGGGATGGTTCCAGCAGCTGCCAAGGTACGCTTGCGGTACGCGTGATGGCAGCTACGGAATCGGCAAGTTGCAGGCACGTCGCTTGATGTCGGCGCTTTATCCTTCACGTTGTTTGTGTCTGTTCACGAGTGCGGCGGCCGTTCTGGTAATCGGAGCGAGGAATCGACTTGAGCGTCAGCAGTGATTTGTTTGCGATCTGTCCGAATGCAGCAACAGTTTCACCTTGTTTTTGTCGAAGATACTGTAGTCCTGTCCGATAATGAGCTGGAATGGAGGCAGCTGCTGACTTTGCTGCACCAGAATATCCATGTGTCGAAGTCGTAAGGACGCTTGGGTGAAGCACGAGGTTCGTGTCCATGTTAGGGTACTTGGACGCCAGCGAATCGTGCTGCATGTGTCGTTCCTAGAGAAGGGTCCCCCATGAAAGCCCAGCCGATTGAAATACTGGGAAGGCCGCGCAACCCGTGAGTGTGAGCGCGTAGATACGGATGGCGAAGAAAAGAAGGTTCCTGACCGAGTCGCGGGCCAGCGGTATTTGTGGGAGTGCAATGGGCGCTGTGGCCGCATTCATTAGGTCTTGAGCCAAAAAGGAGACGGAAGAGGAGGAGGGGAAGGAGGAGAGACAGGAGGAGGGAGGGGAGGAGGGGAAGGGAAGGGTGGAAAGAGGGGCAGACGCGGCGATCGCTTCGTTCAACATCGGGTCAACTGCAAAAAAAAGGGGCTGGTGGAGAAGGGAGGAAGGGGAGGGGGAGGATGAGGAGGGCAACGGGAGAGGAGGGGAAGGGGGGGGGAGAGGAGGAAGAGTAAGAGGAGGAGGAGGGGGAGGAGGAAGAGGAGGAGGAGGAGGAGGAGGAGGAGGAGGGGGAGGAGGAGAAGAAGGAGCGCTTTAGTTTTGGAGGGCTGCGGCAGAACTGGGGGGGAAAAGCGTTCCTGCTGCTCTCCCGGGCACTGCCGAGGAGGAAAGCCGCGAGGCACGCCAGCAGCACGAGCACGTCGCTGTGCTGAGCGAGGATCTTGGGCATGCCGCCTGGGAGGCCCCTGCCAATCCCCAGCCAGGCCAATCGTGCGAGAACGGCGCCAGTGCATGCCAGACCCCCTCGCGTCGAAAAAAAAAAAAAACGCGACGCGGGAGGCGTCGTTTGAATGGTCCGCCTCTGGAGGCCCTCCCTGGGCCTCGGGGCCATCAGAAAACGGCTCAAGATGAGAAACTGGTCCAGGGGAATGGGTCGAGAATTCTGGGGGCCGACGCTCTTCCGCGAACACGCCATGATCTTAGCAGCCCTGACACGCAGCACGCGACACGTGGCGCATTGATACGGAGATCAGCACGTAGACTGAACACGTGGGTATGACGCGATACGTTCGCCAGAACGTGGGCCAATGCGCTGAACAAGCACGCAACGTATTGGCACGGACGTTCTAAGCACGGTACGTTCTGCGTCTGAAGACGGGCGTATCGAGGCAGCTAAAACCATGGCGTCGGGGGGCTGGGGCCGCCGCACCGTGCCATGTTCTGGACTCCACTCGGGCCACGCTCCAGCGCAGTACGGCGCACAGATCGTGACTGCCTACTGGACCTCTCCAACCCAACCCGAATACCCAAATTTCGGGCTGGGGGGGATACGGGTTCCAGATGTGTTCGTCCTAACCATCTTGTGGTGTTGGGTCCTCGTTTTGAAGAGACAGCGCCCCTATCGCTATCGCTATCGCTATCGGCTCGATGTCCAGTCGGACGCAGCCGTCCGAGACAGCGCCCCGCGTCTCCTCCTGTCCTCGCATGTTTCTGCTTCGGCACAACCGGTATAGCGCTTCGTGGCCCCATTCGGAGCTCCACCGAAGGCCCCACTGCCAGGGCCCGCATGCCGCACCTCGCCATTTCGGCACACCCCTCACACGTTTCGTGGCCCCGCCGGGGGCTCCACCGAAGGCCCCAATGCCAAGGCCCATGTCGCCACCGCGCCCATTTCGGCACACCCCTCACACGCTTCGTGCCCCATAGGGAACTCCACCGAAGGCCGCAGTGCCAGGGCCCGCATGCAGTCACCTCGCCATTCGGGCACGCACCTCACACGCTCCGTGGCCACACAAGGAGCTCCACCTAAGGCCCCAGCGCCAGGGCCCGCATGCCGCCATCTCGCCATTTCGGCACACCTTCACACGTTCCGTGGCCCCAAAGGGGGATCCACCGAACGCCCCAGTGCCAGGGCCCGCATGCCGCCGCGCCACTTCGGCACACCCCTCACACGTTTCGCAACCCCGTAGGGAGCTCTACCGAAGGTCCCAGTGCCAGGGCCCGCATGCCGCCCACCACCACCACCACGCAGGCAAGCATCTGAAAGGACGCGTGGGCAGAAGAGCGCGCAAGTGGCAGCCCTTCGGTAAGTGTTGAAAGAGGTACGGAAAACAAAGCGCCTCGCGACTGTGAAGCAGAAAACAGAAGCGCCCGACTGTAAAACGAGGAGGAGGAGGAAGAGGGGATTCTGCCCATAGTTACGAAAGAAGCTCATAGACCGATGTGGCCCAACGCTGCCGCGGCCGCCCTCGCTTTTTTTACAAGAGGCCCATTGTCTGAGAGAGCCGTCTACGTTGCAACATATAGTCTTCGCCAGGCACGAATCATTTCCATTTGCGATATTGGTGTACAGCGCCGTCTGTTTGTCAGCTAATATGTCAGAGAGTGGCGTCGCTCCGGTTTTGTCTAGCACGATGGAGATGGCGACCCTGGAAATATACGAGGGCGAGATACCCAATAGATTCCGGATGCATTTGCACTGAAAATCGTCTAATCGATCCCTCTCGCCTTTGAGAAGCCATATGGAATCCAAAAAATACAAAATCTTGGTCAAAACGCATGCGGAATAGCTAGAAATATATATGTTTATTATACATATATACACACATACCTAAATACACATGTCCTCCTTCCTTTTTCCAACCAATGGCGGCGGCCCGTACCGTTTGCAGCAGCTTGAATATATTCGCTCCTTCGCCCAGCCTCCGGGACAACTCATTCCCAGCTTTGCCGTCGCAAGATATCAGCCCGCCCAAATAAACTGCCCCCCGCACGGATTGAACGCTTTCTCCCGTTTGTCTCCGTACTTCGCCTGTTGAAGACATGTTCATCTGCAGCGTCTTCTCAAAATTGAGTTTCATGCCGTATTTGCGACCTTCCGTCACAATGGATTCAAACATAAGTTGCAGGTTCCCAAGATGTTGCGACGCCAAGAGAGTATCATCCGCGTACAAAATGTCCCTTACTCCGGCTCTGGTTGTAGCTCCAGCGTGTCCAGGGCGTCGTGCAGCATCACAATTTGAACAGCGATGAACAAGCAGGGGCTTAGCGGGCACCCTTTGCGCGATACCTGCAGATTGCTTCCTCTCCGAAGAAGTCCCACAGTGATCGACTATAGTGAACTACCGCTCTGCGCACATTCCGCGGACCATGTTGACAATTTGTGCTGGTAGTCCAAACCTCCCCAAGGCCACGCACATGCTGTCGGGTTTCAAGCAGTCGAAAGCTTTCGCCCAATCTACGAATAAGAATAATAAGCCTCCACGGTTGTTCATGTGAGCTGCATCCACCGCGCCCATTTCAGCACACCCCTCACACGTTTCGTGGCCCCGTCGGGGGCTCCACCGAAGGCTCCAGTGCCAGGGCCCGCATGCCGACACCTCGCCATTTCGACATACCCGTCACACGTTTCGCAGCCCCGTCGGCGGCTCCACCGAAGGCCCCAGTGCCAAGGCCCGCATGTCGCCACTTCGCCAGTTCAGCACACCCCTCACACGCGTCGTGGCCCCATAGAGAGCTCCACCGAAGGCCCAAGTGCCAGGGCCCGCATGCCGCCACCTTGCCATTTCGGCACACCCCTCACACTTTTCGTAGCCCAGTAGGGAGCTCCACCGAAGGCCCCAGTGGCAGGGCCCGCATGCCGCCACCTCGCAATTTCGGCCCCCCCGTCACACGTTTCGCGGCCCCAAAGGGAGCTCCACCGAAGGCCGCAATGGCTGCGTTCGCATGCGGCTCCACCCCCCCATTTCGGCGAACCCCTCACGCGTTCCGTGGCCCCACAAGGTGCTCCACCTGAGGCCCCAGTGGCAGCGCCCGCATGCGGTTCCATCCCACATTTTGGCGCACCCCTCGCACGCTTCGTGGCCTGAGCCAGCACCACCGAAGGCCACAGCGGCAGTCCCCATGTCGGTGCCGCTCCCTCTCTGCACACCCCTCGCACGCTTCGTGGCGCCATAGGGAGCTCCACCAAAAGCCCCAGTGGAAAAGGCCGCCTGCCGCCGACGGGCCACTTTGGCACGCCCCTTAATTGTTTCGCGGCCGCATAGGAGGATCCACCAAAGATGGTACTCACAACTGCGGTACGTATCACTGCTTATGGTTGGGTCCTTCGCCAAGTTAATTTCCATATTCCCCGACGCCACCCCCACTGGGAAAGGGGGCTAATTTGGGTCTTTGGGATTGGTTTGGGGTGGTTTGGTGGGTGGTGACTTCGCTCGGCCATGAGGGGCGGAAAACTGTGCACCGTACCACTCCTGGGCCAAGGATCAGCGACACCTCATAAGACGCCAACGCGGTACAGTCAACCCGTATGATAAGGATGCACCGCAAGGATGCAAGGGCCTTGAACGCCCATGCCGAGGCTCTTCGAGCGGGGCTGGCCATCGAAAGTGGCTGAGGATGGACCGAAGATGATCGAAGAGGCAATGATGCAAGGGTACCGTTGGGAAGTCGATCATCTTTACTATGCGAATTGACTATACGGTGCACAATTCGTTCGGCCATGAAGGTCGGAAAACCCGTACCATTCCTAGGCCGAAAATCAACTCCACCTCAGGAGACGCCAACGCCGTACGGTGCACACAAGTCGTCCGCGGACCTCAGATCGGGAATCGGGAAAAATCCGCCGACCCCTTGGGGTCACGGCGTGTGAGATACTTCCCCTTCCCCAAACGCCTCCCCCGGGAGCCCAGGCCGGCCGGTTTGGGGGGGGGGGGGGGGGGGGCAAAGGTGTCAACCGCACCCTTGGAGCCTCAGGGAGCCCCAAAACGGGCCAAGAGGGCCCCAAAAGGCCCACCGAACGGTCCAAGAGGGCTACGAATCGCCGAAAGATCGCTCCAAGACGCCCAAGATTGCCTCCAGACGGTCCAAGACGCCCCAAGAAGCCACCAAGAGGCGTCCCAAGATGCCCTCCAGAAGCTAAAATCGTCCCATTCCGTAGGGAAAACGTATGGTTTTAGCACATTCGCCTCTTGGGCTTTCACTAGGCCCACAACGGCCCAAGAAGCCTTGAAGATCGACCCAAGATGGCCCAAGAGGCCCCCAAAAGGGCTCCAAGACGCCCCAAGAGGGCCCCAAGACGGCCCCAGAAGCTTCCAAAACGACCCAGGAGGGCCCCAGGACGGCCCCAAGAGGAGGCCCAGAGGGGGAACCCGGATGAACATTTCGAGCACTCGGCCCCGAGAAAACCTGAGGAGGTGCCAATAGGCCCCCAAGAGGCCCCCAAGAGGCCTCCGAGAGGCCCCCAAGAGGCTCCCACGAGGCCTCAAAACGGCCCCCAAGAGGCCTCAAAAGTGCTGCCAGGAGAGCCCAGAGAAGCCCAAAAGCAGAGCCACGATCCGCCAACCGCCCCCGGCGAAATCCCAAGAAGCTGAAACCCCAAGATTCCCCAGAAATCGTTCCACAAACTCCGTTTTTCACTCTTACTGCCGCCCCAACGGTCGGCGGTGCGGCGTCAGCCAATGAATCATATGTTTTCTCCCCGTCGCTTGGACGTCCATTCCCCGTACATCTTTCGGTTTCGCGCGTGTATTTTTGGCAAGATGACCCAGGATGCTCCTCGATGGCCCTCGCCAAGAAAAGTGCACACGTCCGAGCGAAGCCAAGTTTGGGACCAAGTCTTTGGACCTGCTGCTCCTGATGGGCCTCTGGAAGCCTCAGGCGACATCTGGAGACCTCGGGAGGCCTCCGAGGACCTCCGGGGACCTCAGATCCAGCATCGAAACAAACATGTTGCGAGGGCCGTGCCCAAATATTTTCAACACCCGGAGACCCGCATACGGGCCCTAGCGCCTTGAGCGTGAAATTGTAGGGGGCGATAAATGGGAGGGAAGAAAGGTACACTTTTGGGGCCCTGAAGGCCCCCTTTTGGAAACTAAAGGGCCCCTTGAGGGGCCCTGCAGGGCTCCTTTTCTGCAGCCCTCGCTGCCCCCTCATCTATCGTCCCCCCATTCCGCGTGGCCCAAGCGCCGATCCAAAAAGATCCTCCGGAGGGGCAGCCGGCCCCAGGGAAGGGGTCGGGAGCCCCAGCCGCCCCAGGCCGACGAGCGGGAGGGCGCAGCGTCGGGGGCTTCTGCTCAGCGTGTCGCGGCAGGGGCGCAGGCGACACGTCATGCCCTGCGGGCGACTCGCGTGTCGCTCCGCTCCGCGGGACGCGAGGCCGCGAAAAGCTCGGGGCATTGACGCCTGGGGACCGTGGCGTGGTCGGCCGGTCGCACGCAAGAGAGGCCCTAGGCAAGAGTGGCCTCTGGTGCGCGACTCCCGTGGGGCGCGAGGGGGCCAAACCCGAGCGAGCAGGCCGCTGCTGTCGCATCGCATTCCGCGATCGGTCCTCGCCCTTCTGATCGCTGTTCTCCCTTTTTTCCCCTCCTCCGCCTCCTCCTCCCCCTCCTCATCCTACTCCTCGTCCTCCCACATCCTATTCCTCCTCCTCCCCCTCTTCCTCCTCCACCACCTCCTCCTCCTCCGCCCACCTCTCCTTATCCTGCTTCGAAAGAGCCGCGAAGGCTGGCGGACATAATTACGCGAAGCGTCAGCAAGTTCGACGCGGGTCCGGCCGTAGCCACGAGGGCGCCCTGGGAGGCGAACAAAAAACAATTAGCCTGGCGAAGAACCCAACCAGATGCAGTTGTGAGTGCAGCAGTTGTGAGGATCGTTGTCGGTGGAACTCCCCATGGCGCCACAAAACGTGTGAGGGGCGTATCGATTTGGGGAGGTGGGCGGGTGCATGTGAACCCTCCCACTGGGACCTTCGGTGGGGCTCCCTCTGGGGCCACGAAACCGTGTGAGGGATGTGCCGAAACGGGCGTGACGCCCACATGCGAACTGCGCCACTTGGACCTTCGGTGGAGCTACCTACGGGGCCACGAAACGTGTGAGGGATGTGCCGAAACGGGCGTGACGCCCACATGCGAACTGCAGCAATGGGACCTTCGGAGGAGCTCCCTAGGCCACGGAAAGTGTGAGGGGTGCGACGAACCGGGCGTGACAACAACCACATGCGAACTGCGCCACTGGGACCTTCGGCGGAGCTCGTGTGCCGAAACGGGCGTGACGCCCACATGCGAACTGCAGCAAGGGGACCTTCGGTGAAGCTCCCTATGGGGGCCGCGAAACGTATGAGGGGTGTGCCGAAACGGGCGTGGCGCCCACATGCGAACAGCAGCAATGGGACCTTCGATGGAGCTCCCTACGAGGCCACGAAACGTGTGAGGGGTATGTCGAAATGGGCGCGACGCCCACATGCGAACTGCACCGCGGAGACCTTCGGTGGAGCTCCCTACGGGGCCACGAAACGCGTGAGGGGTGTGCCGAAACGGGCGCGACGCCCACATCCGAACTGCCCCACTGGGACCTTCGGTGGAGCTACCTATGGTGCCACGAAACGTGTTAGGGGTGTGCCGAAACGGGCGTGACGCCCACAACGAACTGCACTACTGGGACCTTTGGTGGAGCTCTCTATGGGGTCCACGAAAAGTGAGGGGTGTGCCGAAACGGGTGCGACGCCCACATGCGAACTACACCACTGAGTCCTTCGGTGGAGCTACGAAACGTGTGAGGAGTGTGCCGAAACAGAGACGATGAAAGATGGGAGGAGGGAGGAGGACGAGAAAGGAACGCGCGGCGCTGTCTATTCAAAACGAAGACCCAACACCACAGGATGGTTGGGAAAACAAGTACAAGCAACATTTCCCTAACAAGCAACAACAAAAGCAACAACAACAACAACAACAACAACAACAACAACAACAACAACAACAACAACAACAACAACAACAACAACAACAACAACTCGATCCTCGGCGCATGGTGGCCCGCCCACCATGGCCCAGAGGACTGCGGCCAACTTCCACCCACAGCCGGGGGGGGGGGGGGGGGGCAAAAGGTGAGAGGGGCGCATAGGGGCCACTAAAGGCCTCCTAGATGGTGTCAGAGTAGATGGGGTCGAAGGATCGCGCCGCATCGCCAATGCATCGGCGATGCATCGTCGATAAATCGCCGACGTCGGCGACGCATCGGCGACGTCGGCGTGGATAAATCGTGATCCGCATCGGCGATGCATCGGCGATGCGGCGCGATCCTCCGACGTCTTCCACTCCGATCCCATCTGAGAGGCCTAAAACCAAAGAAACCAGGAGCCCCCTTCCGCGGGCCAGAGAGCGGACAGGCACGACCACTCGGGAGCAGCTGGCCTTGCTCCCAGAACTCGGGCGCCTTCGAGAGATCTGGGCGGGCTCTTGCCACGCCTCCAGCACCCAAAGGCAAATCTCGGGCCCTGGGGCCGCTCAAGAAACGATCCGTGACGAAAAACTGGGGAGCAGGAGGATGAGGATGAGGAGGAGAAGGAGGAGGAAGAGGAGGAGGGGGGCGGGACGAGAGCTCCATGGACGTGGGGGTGCAAACCAGCATTGTGCGCCTTGACCTCTGGGAAGGTCCGTTCGGCTACCCCTGGCCTCCCCGGCCCTCCCCAGGCATCCGAAGTCGCGTCGGTTTCCAACGGGGGCCCTCTTGCTCGCTCCTCCTCCTCCCCCCCTTCCTCCTCCTTCTCCTCCTCTCCTCCTCCTCCTCATCCTCTCCTCCTCTCCTCTCTCCTCCTCCTCATCCTCCTCCCTCCCTCTCTCCTCTTCCTCCTCCTCCTCCTCCACCTCCTCCTCCTCCTCCCTCCTCCTCACCTCCTCCTCCTCCTCCTCCTCCTCCTCTCCTCCTCCTCTCTCCTCCCTCCTCCTCCTCCTCTCCTCCTCCCTCTCCTCCTCCTCCTCCCTCCTCCTCCTCCTCTCTCCCTCCTCTCTCCTCCTCTCCTCCTCCTCCCTCCTCCTCCTCCTCCTCCTCCTCCTCTCCTCCTCTCCTCCTCACCTCTCCTCCTCCTCCTCCTCCTCCTCCTCCTCCTCCCTCTCCTCCTCTCCCACTCCTCCACTCTCCTCCTCCTCCTCCTCCTCCTCCTCCTCCTCCTCCCCCTCCTCCTCATCCTCATCCACATCCACATCCTCATCCTCATCCTCATCCTCAGCATCATCATCATCGCCATCATCATCGTCATCATCATCATCATCATCATCATCATCATCATCATCATCATCATCATCATCATCATCATCATCATCATCATCATCATCATCATCATCATCATCATCATCATCATCATCATCATCAGCAGCAGCAGCATCATCATCAGCGTCATCATCATCATCATCATCATCATCATCATCAGCATCATCATCATCATCGTCATCATCATCATCCTCATCCTCATCCTCATCCTCCTCATCCTGATTATCATCCTCCTCCTCTTCATCATCCTCCTCCTCTTGTTGCTCATCATCCTCATCATTAGTATTATCATTTTTCTTATCCCCATCATCATGCTCCTCGTCCCTTCTCAAAGTCATCATCTTCAACGTCCTTCTGCAACTCTTTCTCCTCGTTGTCCCTCCTCATCTCGGTCTTCCTCCTTTCTTCTGATCTCTCCTCCCTCTTGTCATATTTCCTGTTGCTCCCAGCATCGCCTGAGGTGAACGCCCAGGCGGCGAGGCCGAGGAAGCATGCCACG